TTGTGTTTTTGTTTGTTTATAACTTAAAACTATTAGATACATTGATAAATATATTTTTTTCGAGTGTTGTATCTGTTTTTATTTAAGAAGCTATAGGCTAACTAACATCACACTCAAGTCCTTAAGTATAGCAATTATACACAAATAAAATACGCGAGCAAAATCGCGTACAAACGCTTGTGTAGTATAGTTTTAAATGTAAAAGTAGTTAGAAATGCCTCTCTTATCTGTGTTTATAAATATTAAGTAAGTCATCTTAGCAATAGATGTTCAGGTAATTTTGTTATTTTATCTGTACTTAAGTGTTTTATTACCTTGTTTTAGTTGAAATAAAAAAAATTGAGATCTCTATACAAATATGTTCTACTCAATAGACCTGTCACATAAAAATTATTAGTTTAGAAAAGTTTAGTTCATTTGAAATTTCATTACATTTTTGGTGAAAATTGTACTCATTTAAGAGATAATATGTGTTTAATTTTGAATAATTATAGCTTTCCAAGAATATGTGGATGACAACTGACGAGATCATATTATAACAAAAAATATCCAATATAAATTAATTTTAGAAACGACGAATATGAAAGATGTTTATGTTTAAAAAAATACGGTATTTACATAAATACTATTTTCGACTATCAGTGCGGTTAGGACGTAAAAAATGTTACCATTGCCATCAACAGACAGCAATCTGTCAATTAAAATATGGGAAATTGTTTTATCTAAATATTTTAACATTATAATTTGTTTATAACACAATCGTGTACGAGTATCTTTGAACACACAATAACTGTTTCGTATGTAGGTACATCGGCCGCTCGAAACTGGTTTTGAGTTAGCTAAACTCCTGTACGTTTTTTATTACCTGGTCAATACACACAGAGGCGACCATATTTATAACATTTATTTGGAAATTAATAAAAGGTATAATTCGAAAACTTCACCATAGCCAAAAAGTTTGTTTTGAAACAAAAGCTTCATAACCTATAAGTTATCGATTTGTAAACATTCCCTCCAAAAAAAGGCGCGACGCATAAAAAAGGGGTTAGAGACCTGTTCAGTTAGAAAAAAAGGAATACCGAGGGACAGACCGTACCTCCGTGGTTCGATCAGCCGCCCCACGCGAATAAAACCTCCGGGCAGGGCGGGCCACCGCGCATATCTAAAAAACAGCCGCTCTTCACTTACAATGTTCCGATTGCCTTTCTTCCTCATACGATCATTGCACGTTTAAACATTTAACTATTTTAACTACACTACACTGACACTGGCCACTGACATCGAGATTTAGTTTCTTTTTTTTTTGGAAGCGTTGTCGCGTGCCGCGTCGCCGGCCGGCGGGAAGACTCGGGCGCACAGTGCCGCCGCGGCGGTTAGGGGTTTGTTTGTTTGATTGTTTTACATTATTTAACTGATTATTTGTTGATTAGATCGTTCGTCTCATGACAGTCGCGTAGCGTTGCGCATTGTTGGTATAACGATAGGTACGCGCGACACGTCTCGCTCGATCGGACTGGCTGCTGGCGTCGGGCGGGGCGATGCGTTGCGGGGGGGTGCTCTTTACCGACGCCATGTATACGACTTTACTGACGCGACGGACAGGTGGCGCGCTTACTATTTAAAATTTAGCGCTTTATCCTCATATATTCTAAATATATTCACAATTAATGAACGTAAATCTATATAGTACTTTAAATTATTTATATAAGTCACTTACTTATTGAAATATACATGTATTAATAAAAATAGTTATGGGAATAAAGTACTTTTGGGAGAGTAGCGCCATCTATTGATATAAAATTAAAATATCGTTGTCTACAAAGAGGGCGCGGTAGTCGTTTTATTTTGAATCGATAAAGGCAAAACTTGTTTGGAGTTGAACTATGCAAAACTTTAGTGGCAATATAAAGTTTATATTTTATTTTTTATTAATTTATTTGTGAAGCTTTCATTACTATGCCCAGAAATAACTGTTGCTTTACATTTAAATATAAAATGTATGCTCATTGCCATTGCCCATAATATTCTTGTTGAAAAAAAAGTAAAAAAACAAATGGTAAAAAATAAAAGAAGATATCATTGAAATTAAATATATTTAGTAATACCAATATATATTGCTGTCAGCTGACTTTATTCGTGTGATTGACAAAAATACATTTTCCGAGCATAGAAACTAGTTAGTCAGGAAGTAAGTCACTAAATTATATACTGTAATAATTAATATAATAATAATAATGTACATATATAATTATATTAAATTACAATATTATCTTATATAGACATGTAGACGGTGGGTTAGAATGTTATCGCAATGTAACTTCCCAGGGATTTTCCTGTTCCGATCTAAAATTCTATATAGTTTATCGTAGTTTTCTGTACGTGTAAAAAGTAAGGAGCACGTACTGTTGGTACTTGGTCATAAACCTTAAACCTACTAAGCTACTAATATTTAATATCTTGCAAGACCTAGTCTAAAAATATAGAAAATCTATAATAGAGGCTACTAGTTAGAACGCTTGTGCTCTCCATATTTATCAACATCGAAGATATGGACCCATCGATCAAAAAAGTACTACATACACAATCAGCGACAAAAATGTCTTTACTGAATGAGCGCTCATTTCAACATTTGAGCGCGCTTTTACTTGTGAAAACAACTTTAAGCGTTGCATTTAAGGTTCAATTTACATTGTTGTATATTTATTTCAACTGGAATAATTACCTAAACACAATCGGTGACAGGATTAAGACAACTTGCATGGGATTGTGTATCTAGTACTTTTTTATCGATGCCTGGACCCTACGAGAAAGAGGGAGAGACAATAAGAGCTTAGATAAGCTCAAGATATAGTGGTGAATAAAAAATCTGAGAATTCCCTGGAACGCATTCAGAACTAACATCTCAATCATTAGAGGACTCACTCATGAGCCCTCACCCTCTCTCCATGAATATGCGAGAAAGCCAACTATTAGAGAGGAGTGGAGGAGGATTGGTCCCGCTGAGTTTCTTTCGCCAGTTCTCCTCAGGTCTGAGGCTTCTTCTTTCCGAACTGGTAGTAGACTCGTGACGTTCAGTAAAAAATTGTAATAATTTAATGCTGAATAAAATATTTTGAATTGTCAAGTGGGTTACAATACTTAAGTGATGTTCACGACCAGACTGTCAAGATTATAATGAATACTAAGAGTACTAGAAACTCGTGTTAGCTTAACTCAAGGAACAAATAACAAACTTTTAAGGGCTTAGTAAGCAGGGCTGCCAGACAACACTCGTTTATTTTTCCGACCAATAAACCTTAAAATACCCGGTTTTCCCCACCGGTGACAACCATGAGAAGAATACCCGAAAATAGTTTTTTTAAGTAATTTATTAATGTTTTAATGGAATAAAAGACAGTAATAATGTTAGGAAAAGAAGTCATTGTAGTCAGTTCTCAATTAAACATCTTTAAATTATTAAATCAAACATTAAAAAAAAAAACAAATTATTCAGCTAAACTAAAATGCCCGTCAAAATTACCCGCCATCAAAAATCGCCTAAAATTACCCGCTTTTCGGGTAATTTATCCGCCAATTGGCAGCACTGTTAGTAAGTTCGATTTGTGTAATATATCTCTTTAGGATTAGCCATACATATTTAGGGAAACAGTGAAACTTCTATTCTCTCAATCTGACGAAAATCGAGAGAGATCAAATATCAATGATAAGCCGCTTTAGAAAAATCTTATGCCCGATTTCACCAACGTCACCTAAGTTTAAGGGATCAACTAAGCATGGTTAGGGGGCTGTTAGGGGACAGTTTCTGTTTTACCGACAGTTAGGGGTCACTTAAATGTTAAAAGGTCCCATAAATTTAGGTGCTCGAAGTATGGGCTTAAATACGATGGTAAAACGAAATTTAAATTAGGGTCTAGTTTAGGGGAACTTCTAAGCTAGGGATCCCATACGTAGGTGGTAGTTTATGGGTTGTTGGTGAAATCGGGCATTAATCTTTTAAGACTGACGCTCAAGCCTCGACTTCAATCCTTGGAACGATCTCCACTTGAGGATCTGTTGCCATATAAATATTAAGAAACGCATTGAGTTGAGACATACCCACCATCTGTCTAAAAGCAGCTTAGCAGGCGGGTCATTTTCTTGGCTTGAACCATTTTTTATGTCACGATTGCTTCACGCTACAGAGCCCCACGATAATGTTTTTCAAGCTTATTGAAATATACAATTTTTAAGTTCATCTTCAAGATATACTTCGATAGAACAAAAAAGTTATTAGTTAGCGCTTGCCTCTGCATACTTTTTTGAGGTCGAAGCACAAAAATATATTTAGACTTTTATCGAGATCTTCCTAAGGTGTATTTTATACCTTTATAGGAAATTATAATATATAATACACGTTAGAATCAAGCTATTTCTTTTCTGCAACATTTTCGTGTTATACATATGTTTAGGTATACCTATTTTATAAATACATGTTGTCTCTAAGAGTCAATGCATGTTTTGAACTGGCGTTTTTTTTTTTAATTTATATTACTACTAGCGACTCACCCTCGCTCCGCTCGGGTTCGTCCCTGGGGTGGGGTCTGGGAGGACCACCCTTATCCTTATCACTTAGGGGTATGAAAAATAGATAGTAGCCGATTCTCAGACCTACTGATTACGCATATAAAATTTGGTAAAAATCAGTAAAGCCGTTTCGGAGGAGTACGGTAACAAACACTGTGAGATGGAAATTTTATATATTACTATATATTTTATTTTTCTATGGCTTATATTTTTATAATATGTGTTTATAATAAAAAAATAATTATTCACTTTTAATTAATTTCAAAACGTAACTCCTTTGCTGTCAAATTATAATAAATGTCAGTTGGACACAACATATTGACGTTTGCCTGCAACTTGCAGCGAACGCCGCAGGAATTTATCAAATTTATATCTAGAATTTAAATAAGAAGCGTGTCAATTTTGAATTTCAAATTGTGATTTAATGTTTTAAAATTATGGTGAAGCATAGAAAACCGAATGTGCAAATTAAACATGGTAATAATAATGAATCTAGCTCAAGTTCGGGCACTAGTGAGAGCTCGATGGCTAGTCGGACTTTTCACCTGGTATCTATATGGAAGACAGGTGTAGGGGTACTGTGTCTTATCATAGCAGTGTATGTGGGGACCTTGGGATATCTGGAAACGAGAGTAAACACTCCACTCGATGAGGAAAAGGTATTTACTTAGCTTTGACTACACTTTTGTGTATTCGTTCGTTTTTGTTTCCTTCATAATTCATCATAATCGTATTGAACTCCATTATTTAGGTTTTGCTTAACTCAGGAAGAAAAAAATGTAAAAGCAGTTCATTAAATATATTTACTGCAGATATTAATGATTTAAATTCAAAAAGTTATATATATATATATATATATATATATATATATATATATATATATATTCTTGCAATATCACATATAATATAGATATAAAAGTTATATGTACTTCTTAGGCAGTCCAAGATTCTGGTTTGGCTGTGCCTGAGAGGTACTGGGGCACATACAGGCCAGGAGTATACTTTGGATTGAAGAGTAGAGAGCCCCGATCACCTGTATTTGGGTTGATGTGGTATGAACTTGCAGATACAGTACATAAAGGAATTAGGTATATTATTTATATATTTTTTAAGTAAATTTTTTGATGTTTAGATTCTTTTATTATAATCTTATAGTATGTGGTTTTATTTCGTTTGTCATGTAAGGAAAAAGAGTTTCCCTCCGTTTTTCTCTTTGGAGGAGTTTAAGGAAATATGATATAGATATTATATTTTTTTCTCCAATTATTATTAACACCTTTATTAAAAAGCAAATAGTATTTTTATTCGAAATAAATTTATTTCTTTTCCTTTTTAATAGTCTAGTTTATTGTTTTAGGCATTGGTGTGACCAAAAGGATAACTTACCATCATATGGCTGGCTCCGGCATGATGGTATACATTTTGGTGAACAAACAATATCAGATCCTCCACACAATATACATACCTCCTTTATAAAAACCCTTGGAGGGGAGCATGGGGGACATTGGACTGCACGGATTAATGTTACTTCTACTGTGAGCAATATTTTATATTTTAATAATTTATTATACATATAACAAAAAATTAGAAAAAAATTATTTTAAAATATATCCAAAAATAACATTAAAAATGTATGTAATTGTATTAAAAATGTTTTAATAGACAAAAAAATCGATAGTGCATACTACAGGACTTCCCCAATACCATTCAGACAAAGAGAGACAATAGCATTCCCAAGGAGGGTTGATGTGGCCGTGTAGCAGGTGGCCGGTCATAAAACTTTTGCCAAATCCTATCAGCAGTAAAGAAGATGTACTGCGCCGACCCCAAGTGATTGGGAAATGGGCAGGGAGAATATGATGATATATTATTTATATAATTAATACTATTGGGTCATTCCATGTCAAACTGACCAATAGTTGGAATCAACCCATTTCCATTTGGAAGAATTTTGGTCAAAAGTTTTCTTTTAATAATATAACGAAATTCTGCCAAAGGAAAAAAAAATGATTTTTTTTTTAAAGTTATACAGAATTCAAAATTTACAACTTTTTTTCATTTTTCAACTTTAAATTTCAAGTATCTCGAAAATGGTTATAGTGTAGTTGTGCAGATGCATGGATCAGTTGTTTATATTTTACTATCACTTTCCATTTCTCAGAGCAATAAAAACATAGATAACAAATAAGCATGCAAAGGAGGTGTCTCCTTTGCATGCTTATATTAGAGTGTTTAGACTTTACAGAGTGTATATTTCTATTGCCGTAATAATAACAAATAATAAAAAAGTACTTATAAAGAACATAGTGTTATATCTTGTACAATGGTAATGGCATCCTTCTTAAGTGAGTCCGACTCGCTCTTGACCGGTTTTAATTTTCTGTGTGTGTGTGTGTGTGTGCAATAATTTATCTATGTAATTTTTAGGGTAAAGTGAATATCCCTTTTGTATTGATCTGGTATGGAGCGTTGGATGAGTCTCTAGGCGCGGGGGCACACTCGCGGCTGTGGACGGAGCGGGGGGCTGTGTTGGGGCACACTCCTGCACTTGGGAACTTTAGGGTGCATCTAGTACCGTATTCGGGTGAGTTTTTTTATTGATAATATTGTCTTTCTGACTTATTTCTGTTAAAACAAATCTATTCTTTTTAATTCTCATATTATGATGAGACAGTTACTCGATACGACTGGTGAAAGATAAGGTGCATGACCAACAGGTTATTGTGTTTTACCGTTAGCACTATTGTATAACATTGAGACTGAAGAATTTCTTGAAGAAAGAAAACCCCAGTAAATGATTTGGACCGACCCGGAATATGAACCCAAGACCTCCGGATAGCCAGTAACCATTGGCTAACGAGGCATAAACATACATTTTTTAATATTAATGTCATTTCAGGAAAATTAATCCATACGTCATATTCGGAAGCACACGCCGCAAGCTTGCATTTGCTCAAAGAAAAGTTCTATTCGCTGTTGGAAGTTGAGAACCATCCAAATTTAGGACGTCTTGCTGTTTTGGGGAAAGATGAGGAGCTCGATGAGAAGGTAATTTTAAGCTTTATGTAGTCGTAATAGAGTTTAAATTGATTTGCCCAATTTATTTTTTATCTATATCTATAGTTTTATGAATTTTTAACGTTCCACTGCTGGGCGTGGGTCTCCCTTTAATGGGGAGGGGGGGATCAGGCCATTGTCCACCACGCTGGCCAAAAGCGGGCGGACTTTGCTCTACTAGCTAACTAGCTAGCTTCTTTCAGACTTGCAGGTTTCCTCACGATGTTTTCCTTCAACGTAAGACAAGTGGTAGTCATGTCGGGAATGATACGCACATGAGAATATCAGAGGTGCGAGACCCGGGATTTGAACCCGCTTCATTCGTTTTTCCAAGCGAGTGAGTTACCACTGAGCTACCACTGTCATATATATACTTATCCTTTTATTTTTTTCAGGATAAAGAAGTAAATTTTGTCCCAATACAAATGCTAATTGAGACTCCCTTTGTACTGGACATAGTGTATACTACGGAAGACCTGCCAATGCCTCCGGTGAAGGGTGACGAGTATTCAAAGGCTTTGGACTACATGAGGGAGACCTTCGATGAGAAGTTTGAGGATGTTTTCAAGTTGAAGCAGAAAGGGTGAGTGTTGTTTTATATATATATATATATATTTTTGTTTTTTTTTCAAATTTTTTTATTATTCATGACAAAAACCGAGAAGAATTCTTTGGATTTGGATCAATTTTTGTGTTTAGATAAAGGTTTTGCTTTTTAAGTTTATTACTATACATATGATGTGTTTTTTGAATAAAATGCAATTTTATATCTTTTCTGAAAAACAAAAAAATTAAACTCCGAACAAAGCTCGTTCGCCCATTAATAATTATCTAATCTAAAATATAATAATAGTAATCATTAATAATAAACCTATGACAGGTATACAGAGGAAGATATAAATATAGCCAAGGCCGCCATGTCCAACATGGTGGGTGGTATCGGCTACTTCTACGGTGCGAGTCGCGTGCGCTCGCACTACACCAAGGAGCCCGTGCCCTACTGGCGGGCGCCGCTGTACACCGCCGTGCCGAGCAGGTGGGTGCTCCCATACCCCCCTACATCCCCTCTCCCTTCTATGGTGGCTTTGGAGGACCGTCCACTCCCAACATCCCCCTTCTCCTTTTGGAGATTTGATGATAGAGAACCTCTCCCAAACCCCCCTTAATCCCCTCCTTCTTTCCTTGGTGGCTTGGGAGGTACATCCCCTCCCAACACCCCTCTTTTCTCTTTGAAGATTTAGCGATAAAGAACCTCTCCTAACACCCCTATCTGCACTGCCTTCCCCTTTAGTGAGATTTGATCATAGATAACTTCCTCTATGTTCCCGTCCACATTATGAGATTTGACCATAGAGAATCTGCCCTCAATCCCCCTTGCAAGGAAGGCTTAAGGATCGTATCCAAACCCCCATTCTCTATGGTGAATTTTGGAGAGATGTGGTGGAGCAGGTGGGTCTTTAAAGCTAAGAAAAATCATCGAGGGATTTCTCCAAAATAAAAAAAAACAACAGCCCAACCTAATAACCTTCCACAGATAAAAACGGCAATATTTAAAACCCTCACATTGCTTTTTTTATTCAACTGCTTTTTTTTCTGTACAATTTTTTACCCTTGTTTTGTAATAATTTTATTTTCTTTTATATTAGCAGTGCAGTTATGTATAATATAAGTCCCGCTGAGTTTCTTTCGCCAGTTCTTCTCAGGTCTGAGGCTTCTTCTTTCCGAAGTGGCAGTAGACTCGTGACGTTCAGTAAAAAATTGTAATAATTTAATGCTGAATAAAATACTTTTGTAATTTGTTGGTCAGTTCTATGGACATCTGTAAGTGGCTAACATACTAGAATTTGTGATTAAGGATGAATTTAAAATTTATTTGTGTGTTATGTTGTTGATGTTTTTAATAAATGAAAAAAAAAAAACTTCCAACGTCCAAACAGATCGTTCTTCCCCCGTGGCTTCTTATGGGACGAGGGTTTCCATGGTCTGCTGGTGGGGCGCTGGTCTCCCGAGATCGCCCTGGACGTGGCAGCGCACTGGCTGGACCTCATCAACGTGGAGGGCTGGATCCCCAGGGAACAGATCCTGGGTGAGTGATTGTGGGTTTCGAGTACATTTTGACGACACGTTTGGCTTAGTTTGTAGTGACACTACTTGCTGTGTCAGCGGACGCAGGTTTGGGTCCCGCTGGGTACGTACATTTGTGTGATGAGCACGAATGTTTGTACTCCAGTTGTATGTATGTATTTAACGGTATGTTTTAACGGTTAGTATAAAACACAAATCTTGGAATTTCTCGGCTTTCCTGTACTATAATATGCATGTATTGTACATATAAACCTTCCTCTTGAATCACTCTATCTATTAAAAAAAACCGCATCAATATCCGTCGCGTAGTTTTAAAGATCTAAGCATACACAGGGACAGTCAGACAGCGGGAAGCGACTTTCGTGTCATACTATGTAATGAAATGAAAGATCAGAGAGTGCTAACACGCGTAGGTGCGTGCTTATAATGTCGCGAGACCCTAAAGCCCCCCCCCTCCCCCCCCCCCCGCTCCCCGCAGGCGCGGAGGCGGTCGCGCGCGTGCCCAAGGAGTTCCTAGTGCAGAGCAACGCGGCCGCCAACCCGCCCATGCTGCTGCTGCAGCTGGCGCGGCTGCTGCGCGCGCGCCCCAAGCCCTTCCAGCGCCACGCGCCGCTGCGGGCCGCGCTCGACCGCATGTACCCGCGGCTGCAGGTGGGCACGGCTAAATATATTTTCATGTGATGACCACGAGTGTTTGTACTCCAGTCGTGGGTGTTTATATTTATAATATGTATGTATTTAAAGTTATATATGTGTAGTGTATCAAATATCTGGTATCCATAACACAGGCCTGATAGCTAACCATGGAACTAGATGGTGCTGTGTGTTAATATCCCAATATATTTATTTAATTTCAGTGGTTCCCAATTGTTGTTAGTCGCGGAACCCTAATCTATACTAATATTATGAAAAGAGGTAGAGTTTGTGAATTTGTGAGTTTGTGACGTTGTAGGAGGTAATCTCTGAATATAAAGATATTGAAATTTGGTAAGAAGATATTTTGAGAGCATGGGAAGGACAGAGGATACATTTCATCCCGAAAATCATCCCTTAAGGGGATGAAAATTTGTATTAGGAAGCAAGCTTAGGACGAACCCGAGCAAAGCGAGAGGTAGTCGCTAGTAGGGAATATGCGTGTGATTTAAATAAAGGTGGATTTTTTTTATTGTCATCTTTATTGTTTTTTAATTAAGCCTATACTAATATCTTTTTAATGTAATTTCATTTTGATTAAAAAAATAATTATTGAAAAGTTCAAAGACAGGTGGGAAATTCAATGTAGTTGAAACGCACGCCATTGGTCAGACCGAATGTGACGTCAGAGTATATCATAACAGAGCGATTAGCGATTTTGTCGCTACAAACTGAGTCGTCATGTCTCTGTGTATATCATACTGTGACGTCACGCCCAGCGCGCGGAACAGCGGGTGCTTAAAGTATCCGTATCGGTATGATATTAAAAAAAAAATTACACTAAATTTTAGTTTTTTGGAGTTGGATATTTTCTAACAGTTATATTTAGGTGTTAGCTATTGTATAAAAAAATATATAAATCACATCACATAGTTTTTTTTTAACGGTAACATTTTAATAATAGCTAAACTGATTGTGTTGTATTTAGAATACTTTCTTGTTTGACTTGAAATAACAAATTAAAAATGAAAAATATTAATACCTATAATAATATTTATTGTACTAAAAATACAAATTATTTAATGTGTTAAATGAATTTTTTTAAATATTTATTTATAATAGCATTAAAATTAGGCTTCGTGTCTGACAATGTTTTATCTAACTCTCGAACGGAATTCGAACCCCTATCGCCCTTCCACGGAACATTAAGGGTTCCGCGGACCACATTTTGGGAACCACTGTTTTACTCAAATAAACTTTTACAAGCACTTTTGAATCGTCAGTTTTACATTTTAAATTTATATATAATGTCAATGTAAGTCCGTGAGGAAGCTACCACCGGCTCGGAAGGCAGTTCTGCTGAGAAGAGCCAAAAAGAAACTTATTATTTGCTATTTTTTAAATATAATTATAATATATACTAATATTATAAAGAGGTAAAGTTTGTGAGATTGTGAGTTTGTGACGTTGTAGAGGGTAATCTTTGGATCTATTGAACTCATTTTCACCCCCTTAAGGGATGGTTTTCGGGATAAAAAGTATCCTGTGTCCTTCCTATGGTTTCAAACTATTTTCTTAACAAATTTCATCTAAATCGATCCACTATTATTTGAATATATTTGTTACAAACATACAAAAATACAAATCTTTACATAGACTATAATTAATTATAGATAATATATAGATAGAAAGGGTTTCGCTGGTTAAGTATATGGGTTTGGGTATAAAGGCTTTCGAGGTTAATATTTCACATTATTTTAGCTATCAACCGGTAGTGTTACAATACGTAGTGTTCAGCACTTAATTTGTTTATATTAGAACAAATATAAGGGTAACTGCCCCAATGTAAAAAAAATATCTTTAAAACGAACAAAGATATTCGAATGAAACTAACGCGAAAATTTAAACCCACATGCTTAACCGGCGAAACCCAAACAGCCCCAAGTTAAACCTACAAACAATAAACCCCCAACCCCCGCAGGCGTGGTACCAATGGTTCCAAAGCACGCAAAAGGGCGAGGAGCCGACGACGTACCGCTGGCGCGGCCGCGAAGACGACGGCACCCAGCTCAACCCCAAAACTCTGACATCTGGCCTGGATGATTATCCGAGGTATTGTGAAAATATATTCTTACTAGCGACTCACCCTGCTCCGCTCGGGTTCGTCCCAAGTTACGTTTTAACGTTTAGTATATATTTCTTAGAGATGAGGTATTTTTCCGGAGTAAAAAGGTGCAGGGAAAGAACTTACTCGTATGTGGGAGTCACCGGCTAGAGAAGCCAGTACGTTTGTGTGCTAAAGGCTTCTTCTTCTTCTTCTCCCTGCCCATTTCCCAATTACTTGGGGTCGGCGCAGTACATCCTCTGTACTGCTGAAAGGATTTGGCAAAAGTTTTACGACCGGCCGCCTCACGCCTGCCTGACGTCAACCCTCCTTGGGGATGCTATTGTTTATCGCGGAATATGTCTCTGATTATGTCTTGTAATATGATGCACATTTAGATTTTAAAACATTTTTTATACTATTAATTAAAGTTTAATGTTATTTTCGTATATATTTTAAAATAAATTTTAATCACACTATAAATTTTGGTTTTTGTGTGCCGAAGGCTATTATACAATAAATGATTTTATAGAAGATGGCACACCTTGGGAATGAAATGATCGCCTCCAGGCTACTTCGACTTGATAGAAATATTGTAAATTATAATTTTACTTTAAAAAAAGATAACAAGTCAATATTAGTCCCGCTGAGTTTCTTTCGCCAGTTCTTCTCAGGTCTGAGGCTTCTTCTTTCCGAACTGGCAGTAGACTCATGACGTTCAGTAAACAATTGTAATAATTTAATGCTGAATAAAATATTTTGAATTTTGAGTACTACTCACTAGAACCCAACAGAACTTCCCCCGTCTTAATGGGGCGTCGCAGGATCGCTTACGCATTCAACTACGACGCCCCGACGGCAGGTCTGCCGAAGCAGACCACAACAACCAAGGGGTTGCTCCAAGGTCCACTCTGCTATCAGAGAAATAGACACCTACCCCATGCAACCCGCATTGTACACTGTCCACTGAAGTGGACCTTTCAGACGATTTCTTGGCTTCGCGCCTGGCTGGATTGCCGGACGCTAATTGGTCCTATTCACACCAGGACAAGGGTAAAGAGCAAGAGAGGGGAGGGGGAGGGGTCAGAGAAGTACCACGATTAACCCACATGGCATACATACTCCCTATCGAAATGAGCCACCTCCCATTGTATCTCTTGGCTTCATGTCCGGCTAGATTGCCAGCTGCTAATGAGCCCCCCTCCCCCCACCGTGACAGGGGGTGAGGGAATTTTACACAAAACCTAATTTACCCCAACAAATAAAGTTTGTAACTCGTTCCAGAGCGTCCCACCCGTCCGACATAGAGCGGCACGTGGACCTCCGCTGCTGGATGTACGCGGCCGCCGACGCCATGGTCACCATCTCGCAGGCGCTGGAGAGGGACAGCGATAAGTGGGTCTTGTTGTGTGTTTGTTGGTTTGTGTGTGTGTGTGTGCGTTCATCATGAATAAATTATATTACAACTTCAAGAATGGACTGAAATCCCAAGAGGATTTTAAAACAAAATTTAATTTACCAAATTTCATCAAAATCTGGTTAGTGACTTTCTCGTGATGTGTTCTTAGACAGACATACAAAAATTCTGAGCACTATATATTCGGCCACTGTATCAATAATAGTGACTATTTCAATAATATTTTCCAAAAAATATTTAATGTACAGATTCGACTCAGAATTTAATTATATATATAGATAATATATAATATGTATTTATATAAAACACACGACACCCTTTTTTGGCTTCGTAGTCGGTTGCATAACGTTAAAATTATTTTCCTTCCAGATTTGAAGCCACTCGAGATCAATTAGGAGATGAAGATCTATTGAATGAACTCCACTGGTCCCCGCACACGCAGACGTACGCGGACTTTGGTATGTATCACACTACTCGGTCAAAAATGTCCCACTGCTGGGTGTGGTCCCTTCAATACGAGGGGAATCAGGCCGTAGTCCACCACGCTGGCCGAGTGTGGGTAGGCGGAAAAACTACATATATCGTGTAAATAAAAAATGGACTCCCAAGCCTTAAATCAAATTTGCTGATCATTTAAAAAATCAGCCATTATGTGCCAAGAAAGATGGCGCTGTTAACATTCATTTAAGTTATTTGTTTATAAAAGCCACTAAAATTTATATTTTAAAATTATATTTCTTTTGGCGGAAGCCTAATTCTTTTTGTAAAATTAAAACTTAAAAAAAAACTGACTTCCAGGCACTAAAATGTAAAAAATAATTAAACGCGGGTTTTCATTTAGAATATATACCTAATCAGATATTTTGGTACCAGCCGACAATATTTTAAGATATGAATATATAATAGGTACTCGTAAATATGTGTTTTACGTATCGAAATATATTAGATTTGCTTTGCATTGGCTGGCATCGACTTCGAAAATATCTGATTAGGTATCTATGATATATGACAACCTCCGTTTTGTTATTTTTTACATTTTAGTGCCTGGAAGTCGTTTTTTTTTAAGTTTTTATTTTTCAATGTTAGTGTAGACGTAATAAGCAGGTAATTTGTAAGAAGAAAGATTTTTAATAACACATTCGATTAAGCAATTTATTTTAAAAATTAATTTATTGTAGATTTAAAAAAAAAACCGCTCAACCAATTACGATAAAATTTATATGGAACCACATAGGAAGTACACGCTTCGAAACAAAAAAAAATCAACATCAGTTCAGGCGTCTTCGAGTGAAGTTGAATCGGTGAACATACAAAAAAAACCGACGAATTGAGAACCTACTCCTCTTTGGAAGTCGGTTGATAAAAGTAGCCTAAATTTTCCTTATAACATGGCCTGGCCTTTTGTACTGAAGAGTCGCCCACCACCAGCAGTGGGTTAGAAAGGGCTGAACACATATTTTTTTTCTCCAGGTCTTCACACAGACGGTGTGAGGTTGGTCAGACAGCACAGCAAAAACAAGAAAGAAGGTTCGAGAGTAATTCGCAGCGTTACTATAGCTCCTCAGCCGAGGCTGGTCACATCGGCTTTTGGTAAGCAAAATGGCACGTTGGTCCAATGATTAGAATGTATGACTGTAAATCCGGGACGGGTTAGAGTCCCGGGTCGGGTTAAATTTAGTTGTTAGGTATTTCTCCCAAGTAATTCGAGTGTCGAGTTTTTTATCTGACTGTGAGAGTGAAAGGGATGGAGAATGTGTATATGTGATTGATAGTGATCAAAATTAGTGAGCTGGGTGTTTATTAGTCTTCTAATATATAAAATTCTCGTGTCACAGTACTTGTAACAAAACTTATGAAATTTTGTGTGTATATTCAGTAGATTTGGTGGTCCACTCTAAAAAAAAAATTATTTTTTGGACAAAATTTTTTATTTTATTTTTTTGTGATACGGTATTAAAAATACATACAAACCTAAATTCTAACTAGGTATGAACCCAAACGGGACGAGGGTGAGTCGCTAGTATGTATATAGAATGTCCTGATCGATTTCGGTCAAAGCTAATCTCATATCATCGTCTATTTGTCACCTTGTTACAATCAATACTGATATTATATAGAGACAGAGTTTGTTTGTTTGTTTGTTTGTTTGAATGTGCTAATCTCAGGAACTACAAATCCGATCATGCTACTACTCAAATGAGCGGAACAGTAATATAATATATACTCTATCTATTCCATACTAACAGTTTAAACGTACCTAGAGACGAAACTGAGCGAAGCAGGGTGAGTCGCTAGTAATATTATAAAAAAAGAAATGGTTTTTTTCTTTTTTGTGTGATTTTAAAATAGATATTCTTTATTATATTATACAATATGTATGTATATCGAATATATAATATTTTTTTACGCTACATGCGTGTGTCATTAAAAAATAATAGATCCATAAAACGAGTCATGTTTAACTAATAATAATGAAATATATATTATTTTTTCATGGAAATATAAAATAATTTTTATCAAAATGGTCCCTCTAGCCGGATATTTGTAATTTTTTTTCAGGATATGTGTCACTGTTTCCGATGTTGCTGAAAGTTCTGCAGCCTGAGAGCGAGAAGTTGGGCAAAATCCTCGAAATGCTCGACAAACCGGACTTGCTATGGTCGCCATATGGATTAAGGTAAATTTTATTATTTACTAGCAACTCACTCTTGTTCCGCTCGGATTCGCCCCCTAGTTACTTAAAAAATGGGGGATGGGGGTAGGAGGGTGAAAAATACTTTACGATCTATTCTCATATCTGAGGTGGATTGTGAAAACCCACGAATATGTGCCATAAAAATAGTGTTGAGCGATAGGTCTATTTTAGTGTTTAGTGTGTATATGCCTACGGATAAAATGATAAACCTTACGGAATTCACGGATTGCCTCAGTTCGGTGAGTGCTATTATTAATAATATGAATATCGAATGTGTTTACATTCTTGGTGACTTTAATGCGCATCCAAATAATAGGTTTTATGATGAGTTAATGTGTTTTTGTGATGAACAAGAATGGGCGTGTGCGGATGTACAGCTTTTAGGTGTTAGGTCTGGAACTTACACTTTTGTTAGTGAGGCCAACGGGTCGAGAAGGTGGCTTGATCACTGTGTGACCACTAAATCCGCTGTATCTTCAATTTTAAATGTATATGTTAAGTATGACGTATTGTGGTCTGATCATTATCCTTTAATTATTGAATGTAATCTAACTAATATAAAACGAAAGTGTAGTAGTAAAAATAAAGTAATTAACGAGATTCTATGGGGAGATAGAAAACCGGAGGAAATACAATTATTCACTAAATTATGCCATGAAAAATTGAGATCTATCGATCTCCCCGAAGAGTTTCGTTCTTGTTGTGATTATATGTGCGAGCGTATCGATCACACATTACTTATAGATAAATTATATAGCGATATTATTAATATTTTATCTGTGGCCGCCACTGAGTCTAAAACTGTAAGTTCACGCGGTGGGAAGCGTCCTGTGGTTGGGTGGAACAGGTATGTACGCGACGCCCACTGGGAGGCCAGGTCTAAGTTTTTAATGTGGGTTTGGTTGGGTAAACCTAATAATGGTTGTGTCTATGAAGACATGCGCCGAAGTCGCAGTGTATTTAAGTCGCGCTTAAAGTGGTGTCAGAACCACAGTGAACAAATAAAAATGGACATTTTGGCTACGCAGCATTCGAAAAATGATTTTCGTAATTTTTTGGAAATCGACAAATAAATTAAATAATAGATCTGGTCTACCAGAGAGCGTAGAAGGTATTAATGATCATAGCCGTATAGCAGACATGTTTAAGGAACATTTCACAGTGATATCACCGTTGGGACCATCACAGCCTGCAAGAGATAAGTGTAGGCATGGCCAGCAGGTTGAAATCAGATTTACAGCGAAGAATGTCAATGATGCTATAACGTCTATGTCGCGGGGCAGGTCTCCTGGCCATGACGGACTTAGTATTGAACATTTAAAGCACGCGGGTCCTCATTTGCCCGGAGTACTTGCCATGTTTTATAATTTATGTATAGCTCACTCGTACTTGCCTGCAGCCCTGATGAAAACTGTGGTGGTGCCAATTGTGAAAAACAAAACTGGGGACATATCTGATAAATCCAACTACAGGCCCATTTCACTTGCCACCATTGTTGCGAAAGTGCTTGACAGTATGCTTAACGTCCAGCTTGATAAACACATTCACTTACATGACAATCAGTTTGGCTTCAGGCCCGGTTTGTCAACGGAATCAGCAATATTTTGTCTAAAGCAAACTGTGAAGTACTACTCGGTTAGGCAAACGCCTGTGTACGCCTGTTTCCTTGACCTTAGTAAGGCATTTGACCTGGTCAATTACGATATTCTATGGCAGAAACTAAAAAATACTGGATTGCCTGAAGAAGTTACCGGGAATCTTCAAATATTGGTATCATAATCAGGTCAATGTCGTGCGATGGTCGGAAACCTATTCGCAGCCATACGGATTGGAGTGCGGGGTGCGACAAGGGGGCTTAACTTCCCCTAAGCTCTTCAATCTCTATATCAATGCACTGGTGGAGACGCTCAGTACTACTCATGTTGGTTGTCATATTGACGGAGTGTGCCTAAATAACATTAGCTATGCAGATGACATGGTGTTGCTGAGTGCGTCTGCTTGTGGTTTAACGAAATTGTTGAGTCATATGTGAAAATTATGCCTATAGTCACGGTTTGATTTATAACGTAAATAAAAGTGAATGCATGGTGTTTTCGTGCCAAAGGAAAATCTCAGCCCTCAACTTCACCACCCATTAAGTTATACGGTACCCCGTTTAAAGAGGGTGTTTCAGTATAAATACCTAGGTCATGTGATATCCTTTGACCTGAAAGACGATGCTGATATAGAGAGAGAACGTAGGGCATTGTCTGTGAGGGCGAATATGATCGCACACAGGTTCGTTCGTTGTTCCATCCCTGTTAAGGTGACCCTCTTTAGAGCTTACTGTACTTCTTTTTATACTAGCAGCCTGTGGGTCGATTACACGCAAAAACAGTATAGTGCCCTGCGTGTTCAGTACAATAATGCATTCAGGATGCTGATGGGACTGCCTCGTTGGTGCAGCGCGTCGGGTATGTTCGCCGAGGCGCACGTAGATTGTTTCTACGCTATCATGCGCAAACGGTGCACATCCCTGGCACGCAGGGTTCGGGCCAGTTCCAATAGCATCCTGAGGGCATTTGCTGACAGGCTCGATTGTCAGTATTTGAACCATTGCCAAATGGTGCACATGCTGACAAATCGAGGCTGTCTTAGATAAGGTTTAGGATTAAGTAGGTTAAATGTGTACTAACATTAGGTTACAGTGTGTCTTTACTAACAAAATATGATCCTTAAAGGTTGAAATAAATGATATTATTATTATATTATTATATCTACCAAATATACACACAAAATCATTAAAATCGGTCGAGCCGTTTCGGAGGAGTGCGACCACAAACAACTTGACACGAAATATTTATATATTAGATAATGTATTCTTAAAAATATGTGTAATGTGTAAGTGTTTAATTAAAAAAAAAGCATATGTATGTATTTATGTCAAAACAAAAGTAAATAAAATTATTTATTTCCTATATTTTAATTCCAATATACGATAACAATATTTTTCAATGATAATATTATTTTAATAACAATACTGCTAACAATTTGTCACTCTAAAGAAATATATTAAAAAAAAAAACTATCACTCGTAGGATTGCACATCAGAAGCGAAAACTTCTTAGCTTCACAAACTTGTAAACATTATGTTTGGTTTGTTAACAAATATTTTTTAGGAAGTGCACATATGTATGTATCTGAGCGTGACGGTCACGCGAGTTTAGTGGTTTTTCGCCATCCCAAAAGTGACCAACGTGCCTAAAGAAGTTTTCACTTCAAAAAAACTGGATCTCGTAACTAAGCTTCGAACTTCGTTAAGGTTCTTCAAATAAATATCCAAATCTTAGGAGCCGAGCTTTTTTTTAAATATTTTTATTTCAAATAAAACATACAATCAATAAAAAAAACGTTTATTTTTTTTTTACGAAATCGGTCCACAACGTAACTTTCGGTGCATCATCTCACAGGTCCCTATCAAAGCTGTCCCCTCTCTATATGAAGCGCAACACGGAGCACGACCCGCCGTACTGGCGAGGCCAGGTGTGGGCCAACATCAACTACCTGGCGCTGGCCGCGCTGCGCCACTACAGCCAGCGTGGACCACACGCGGTCCGCGCTACAGACTTGCATCGTCGTCTGCGTGAGAACTTCGTGCGTGAGTATCTACACCTTTTATCCAGCTATTTGACGATGGCTCAGTTTGTGGTGATCCTACTTGCTGTGCCAGCGATCGCGGGTTCGAGTCCCCCTGAGGGCATTAATTCGTGTGATGAGCACGAATGCTTGTGATCCAGTCAGGAGTGTTTATATTTATAATATGTATGTATTTAAAGCAATATTTGTGTAGTGTATCAACTATCTGGTATCCATAACATAGGCCTCGTAGCTTGACATGGAACTAGATGGTGCTGTGTGTTAATGTACATATTTATATTATTTATATTTTTATATCCAGTCATAGACCAAGTATGGACCGTCACGACTAATAGACCATGGGTTGTGAAATAGTCAATAATTGAGAACGCCGCAGATTTGGTCTGTCGTCTGCGCGCCACTACTGCATGAGTATGTCTATCTATGTTTGATCCATCCATGGACCGGAAGTTAACCACTAAGATAAGTGGACCGCTGGCTATAAGATAATAACTGTGTGGCGTGGGTTGGGTAATATCAATTATCAGTATAGCCAGCGTGGACCAAATGCGGTGCTATCTGTAGATTTGCATCGTTATTGTGTGAAAACTTCGTATAGAAGTCGACTTCGCATCTACATCCTATAGTCATTCATGTCCCCAGTATATACTGTCCGTGGACCGCTAAGATAAGTGTGCGGTAATATAATAATAATTGTGGACCACCGTAACTATACCGTATGTAGCATGAGCTGGGAATTGAACCAATGACCTTTTGATTAGCAATTAATATTAATTAATTCAAAAACAGCTTTAAAAGAAAACGAACTAACACACAAACTTTATAACGTTTTAAATAAAACTATCTCTTCGGATTATTTCGCGGATTTATTTAGATTTTTGGTTTCCGACATTTCGAAGGCTTTACAGCGATCATGGTCAGGGGAGAGAAAATCTAGTACGAAAAGATAGTTTTATTTTAAACGTCAAATATTCGGCTAAATCTAAAAAAGTAACCTTGCAATTACAACATAGTAAAAAAATAAATAAAGACTGCGTGTATGAATGTGTACACGCGCAAGAAGTAAAACTTCTGTCGGTTATCGGTACTCTTTGTGAAATTCAATTTATGTTATAAATAATTAGGATAGGGTGAGATACTAAAACATAACGCATATAACGCATATTACAATCATATATTTATAGAATATCATTTAAGGAAAGAATATTATATATATATATATATATATATATATATATATAATTTGTCGGACAATAACAACGGTTACCATGGCAACAAACGTACGTACATTGTTTCGTAACGCATTCACCAGCTTACCCCCCAATTCGAGCGTGCGTAAAGAAGTTTTACTTCAAAATCTATATATATATATTTTAAATCCCCAGAGAACGTGCTGTCCGAGTACAAGCGCACGGGGTACTTGTGGGAGCAGTACTCGGGCGAGGACGGTAAGGGCAGCGGCTGCAAGCCCTTCACCGGTTGGACCGCGCTCGTTGTCCTCATCATGGCGGATGAGTACTGATTTAATAAACACCAGGGCTGCCAGACAACAGTTGTTTATTTATCCGACCAATAAACCATGAAAAACCCGGTTTATCCCGCCAGCGACAACCATGAAAGTGAAGAAACCAGAAATAGTGTTTTTTTTTAAACTTAATTCATTTTTTAATATAGAATATATAAAAGAGAGTACTAATGTTAGAAAAATAAGTCATTGTTCTCAAAACAGTTTTAAATTATTGAATCAAACATAAGAAAAAAAAAACTTAAAATATCAAATTAATTAATTGCCGATATATAGTACTTGGTTTAGTAGAGTTACAAGAAGACCATAATTTGGTTCGCAATATTAGAACACTGGACTGGGATTTCACGTTATTTCCTGCTAACAAATACCTTCCAGCGTGGCCAATATTGCAACATCGTTATCTGTATTCAATGAGTTTCGATGAGCTGTTTTAATGTATTTTTTTTTTAAATTACTATTAACATAATGTTGCCAGCTAAACTAAAATACCCGCCATCAAAAATCGCCTAAGATTCCCCGCTTTTCGGGTAATTTACCTTCAAATTGGCAGCGCTGATAAATACATACATATCATATTCTTAGCGGCACAGCTGTCAGCTGTCAGACAGATGTCAAAAGTGACAGCTGTGGTCCCTATGTCAGCAGCTGTCGGCTGTGTAAGAAAATATTAAAAAAATATATATTAAAAAAGCGTGTTTTTTTTATAAAAGCACTACAGCACGCTTACGTATTCAAGAAGAGTTCGTTTAAACGTTGACGATTATATTAAACATAACATGAAAAGTAACCTTATGTGAATGGTAATACAATTCAAAATAAAATTTTATTATTGGACCTTATTTCTAAGGACATAAGTCTTAATATAAAAATTATAAATTATATTGGATTAACAACCATATTTCTATCTTTATATGACTCACTCAATATCAAATGGATTCGTTTCATATTAAGCGGCTAAATTACATTCTACTTGTTTACATAATATTTTTTGCGAATTGAAAACGTATTAATTTTGTTAGTGTTTTACAACACAACAAACCGGCAACCATTTAACACTTTTTTCAACACTTGTCGTTATGACAGCTGACTTTCACTTAAGTCTTCATTTTGTTTAAACGTCTTCAACGTTTTAGCAGTTTTATATAAAACTACGTTTTAAATAAAAACGGTACGTTTTAAATTAAAATGGATATAGTATGTTATCCTTAAGAGATAGACATATGCCATCGTGGACTTTTTTGTAGACCTATATAAGATACACAATTCCACCATACATTATTTTGTTATATCTCAAAGGGTTTAGGCAGCGCTTTCGTTGAAAGCTCCCAGACGTCGATTTTTTCCGGCACCTCCAACAAATATCGTAATATTTTAGCCAATATATACAAAAACTTAACAAATATATACTAAAACCTTCCTCTTGAATCACTCTATCTATTAAAGAGAACCGCATCAAAATCCGTTGCGTAGTTTTAAAGATTTAAGCATATATAGGGATATAGGGGCAGAGAAAGCGACTTTGTTTTATACTATGTAGTGAAATCGTTTCAAAGAAAAGCGCATTTCTAAAACGTTTGAAAAAATAAGCATAACGTTTAAACATGTTGTTAATTTAAAGGCATTTATCACTTCTCTAATCCCTCCACGACCGCGGACACGCCGGCGTTGCAGCTTTTGGCATACATAAACAGGCGGTACATAGTTAGATTTAAGATATATTATTTTTTTATCTTACAGATGTTGTTGTTATGTTGTAGATATTCTCAAAAGGTTTTCAGTAAATTAAAAATGATCCTGTATATCCAAGGAATAATAATTAAAAAAAAAACTTCCTGTAATACATACATAGTGAAGCAAAATAAATATATCTATCTCGCTCTTTTTTAATTTGACGTCAGCTGTCAAATTGTTAAATATCGACTGACAGGTACATTTTGTGATGACGGTTATTTTAAAATTAAAAGAAATGATGACTATATTACTTATATTTAAATTAAAAGTGCCAAGGTCTTGATAATGTGTAATAATAATCTTGAAGGGTAAATTGTGCTATTTAAAATTAGGCCATAGGCCATCCACCACGCTGGCCAAGTGCGGGCGGACTGAAGATGTGTTTTTGAAAACTAGGTTCTCTCAGATATGCAGGTTTCCTCACGATGCTTTTCTTCACCGTAAAACAAGTGGTGATCATGTTGGAAATGATTCATTTAAATAATATTTTTTTAAGTTTTTGTCATTCCAACGGTTGATATGATCGTATAATTTTTAGTTTGAATCCACTACCTTTAGTATAGAGTAAATGATTCTTATAAATAAATAACAATCTTTTATTAGATAATTTAAAGAAATAATTAGCTAATAAAAGTAGATTTAAAAATAATGTGAATAAAAATATATTTGATGGCACTTTTATTAATTTTATCAAAATAATCAAATTTTCTAAAGTAATGAATAGAACCAAGAAAATTATTGAGTAGTATAAATAAGGTGTTTAAAAATAATAATAATTTATCTGTAAATTTAAAAGGAAAACGTTATTGGTAATTTAGTGTTGCCAGTAAAAAAATTAAGTAGACTGTATAGCGTAAGTTTGGGCCGTATTAAAAAAATATAAATAAAAAAGAAATAAGATATGTTCTTGTTATTTTTTATTTGTCGGTCGCGGGTTCGAGTACTGCTGGGGGCATTCATTTGTGTGATGAGCACGAATATTTGTACTCCAGTCATGGGTGTTTATATTTATAATATGTATGTATTTAAAGTTATATATGTGTAGTGTATCAACTATCTGGTATCCATAACACAAGCCTCGTAGCTCACCATGGAACTAGATGGTGCTGTGTGTTAATGTTCTAACGTGTTTATATTTATTTGTTTTTTATTTCTAAAGAAACTTTTTTTTTTTTTAATCTTTATTTTAAAAGGGGTTTGGTCACAAAGTGATCATGCCATCCCTATAGGAACAACTAAACATAAGGAATACAATTTCCAATAATCAACCTTATAAATAACATAAATTAAGTATTTCTATGTCTTAATCCGACTTGTACTACTTTATACAACATTCTTGACTGATTCGATATAGGATCGGCCAGAATGCTGTTAAAAGCTCCTATGTCTAATAAATTTATATTAAATCTTAATAAAAAAATTCTTCTTTCCGCTTCATTTCGGACACATTCAGCTAATATATGATGTACATCCTCAATTTTATTACATTCTGTACAGGCAGATGACACCGCCTTACCCATTAAGGAGGCAAAACTATTCAATGGAATGTGACCGGAACGAAGCCTCAAGGCTGTTATGATTTCGGACCTACTCATATTGGCATTTCTAAAGAAACTTAAAAGATTATTTAATAATAATTTGTTTTACTGCGCACAATGATTACGTAGATATTAATTATTTAATTTATATCATTAAAATAGATTTGAAGATTTTATTTGCATAACTCAGAAATTAGTATAATAAATTACTAACAATTGTTAACTTAATTCTTAATATCTCATAACTTTTGGTCCAGAGCATGGAAAGTAATAAACTATTGTTCCTCCACAAATATTTTGTTTGTACGGGAATGGAACTCGCGATCGTAGAGTTTTGAAATTTTGTTATTATTTCTTCTCTCTTCTCTCTAAGTTTTGCTTCAGATTTTATAGACACCTGCTAACAACTTTATCGTAACTGTAAAATGAGATAATTTAAAAACAAAAAAAAAACTAAAATTGTAAAAAAATTAAAGTACCTACTAATAATAAAAAAAATATATTATTTTTTATTTATACTTGTAATATTTTGAATTTGAGCCACTAAATATATATTGACCAAACACATTGCCTCTTAATTGGAAGTTGGTAAATTAATCTACATGTAATTATCGAAAATAAAATAATCTGGCTGAAAAATTTCTTCTTCGCGCATTATTTTTGCAACTTTTAAATACACATTGAGGCATTGTGAACGTGTTTACGTTGGCATTGTTTCAATAGAACTAATAGAAATATACGCTCACTTTGCAAGTGAGCTGATATTTACCGAGACTGATTTCTTACGCCGACACGATATCTATAGTAGGGGAGCCCAAGAGGGCATTTTCTGTAGTTACTCGAGCGCGGCAGATTAACATAAAAGAGGTTACCTTGCACTCTATTGTATTGTATTGTATGTATTGAGTACTTTCACCACAATATAAGTCTTCTATATAAAGGGGCGCGTCTACGGAAGTACTAGTAGTACTGTTGATCGAAGGTTACAATGTTGCTCTTGCAGGTGTCAAAATTATTTCATTGTGTAAATTTACAGGGCTGGACTTTGGCAGTAATAATTTATTAAAATATTGTGTTTTATTTGTATGAACTTCAAATATTCATTATTCGTTTAGTTTTCTTTATATATTAGAAGGCCTTTCAATTCGACTCTGGATTTTTTTATGTACAAAGTTATTATTTTAATTATACCTAAGTATGTTTAGATAATAAAAGACATTTTACTATCATTTTTATCTGTTTTACAACGTGTTTTTATAATGGTATGTAAGTCTCTATCTTGTTTGTGTAAAGTTTATTTTTTATCTATATTTTAAGACTCTGTTCCAATATTTATAATTATATATTTTTTTTGTATATTTTGTAAATAAATAGATTATATTTAACTTTCTTGATGAAATAGTTGGAATTTTATTTATTTGTAAGTTATTAATTCGAGGAACATTTTTTAGTCTTTCAGGTATGGAGTATCATCCTAAAATTTTCATATTAAACTACTTTTGCTTAGTTAATTAAAAAAGACATCAAATGTCAACTTCCATATTTCATATAAATATATAACTATACATATAATAAAATTGTAACTAAGCCAAATCTGTACATTAAATACTTTTTGGAAAATCTTATTGAAATAAACATTATTATAAATACAGAGGCCGAATCTATAGTTTTTAGAATTTTTGTCCTCTGTCTGTCTATCTGTTACCGCATCACAGAAAAACC